CATGTGACGAGGCTGGAAGGCAGCGCTGAACGCCAACGACGAATAGGCGCTTTGGAAAGCACTGAGTAGCACGCGCTAGATTGGAGGGAAACGCGAAACGTCGGCGAAGAAGACGTGAACTGGAAAGCACTGAGGAACATGCTACTAGATTGGAGGGAAACGCGGAGCGTCAACGAAGACGGCGCGCACTGGAAAATACCGAGCAACGAGTGATTACATTGGAAGAAAATGCTCAAAGACACAGGGGAAGACGTGAACAGGAGGATGTACAAGAGCGACGATTCGACTGTTGCCGGACTCACAAAGGCAACGGCAAAAGAGACGCTCCAGAATTGTTGGAGAAAGGATGATTGGCACCGGAGTAGCACCATATACATGGTCAGTTGAAATTCCGCACCTCGGAGAACTGAATCAACGGTGTATAGATTGTGGAGCATTGCCTTTCTGTTGTGAAGTCAAGCCCAATCATCCTTGAAAGTTGAAAGTGCTGTGATCTAGGGCAGGTCACATTGAATTTTTTCCAGAACTTTCCTGAAGGGTTACGAATCTAATTTGTTTCGGAGCGTAAGTCAACAGATGAGATTCGAAGTCTTCGGAAAAACTCCATGGAGAACATAAGGGGCTTTGACTACGCTCTAGCGATGGCCTCACTGGGTGCGCAAGTCGATAGTGCGAGGACGTGGGCCTTATTGCGAATATGTTGTATATATATATATAAATATATATATGTATATATATGTATATATATATGTATATATATACTGCATTGCATAATTATAAGGTCACCCTCGAATTTCGCACTTTCAGAAGAAGCAATCATTCAGGGTTTTTTTCTAACAATATGAACGGGTCCCCCAGCACGAGTAACCTAGGTATCCGTTTCCAGGGAAATAGGGAGATACCTCTGCTCCATCCAAAGATTTCTGGAGACCCTTGATGGCCCTAGATCTAACAACAGCTGTGGACGCCCACGCAAGGTTAATGTCCGTGACGAGCGGAAGATTCTGAGGGCTGTTTCCAACATTGCGCCCTCCTTGAACCCGATCCGGTGGGAATTAAACCTCTCCGTGCCGAAAACTGCAGCCTAAAGAGCACTAAGAAAATGCGATAACATCAACGGGCAAGCAATGAAGAAGGCGCCACGAATCACTGATTGCCACAAAGAGGCTCGACTCGAATTTGCAAACTTGAATCTAGGGAGAGATTGGGCAAAGGAAGGTCTCCATCAAAATCTCACCATACAGCTCAATTATTTCAATTCAGGTTGTCTTTTCGGATGAAAAGAAATCCAACTTGTACGGTCCTGACGGAAACAAGTACCACTGGCGCGACTTGAGGAAGGAACCAATCTAATTCAGCCGTCGCAATTTCGGTGGAGGAAGTCCTATGGTGCGGGGTGCATTTTGCAATGATATCGCGTTGGATCTAGCCTTCGTGAGCTGCAGAATTTATTGCAAGGATTACCAGAACGTCTTCGAGCATCAGCTAGTACCCTTTCTAAGCCGTGGCCGTCACCTCAACTATGTCTTTCAACAAGACAACACCTCCATCCAGTGAGCCGTGCAACGAATGAGTGGCTGCAATGCCAAAACATAAGCGTTCTGCCATGACCAGCCTGCACTGCCGAACTCATTCCGATAGGAAATATCTCGGGCATAATACTCAGACAGATTTATGCGAATACCCGTCAGTTCCAGAGCACAGAAGAGCTGAAGCGGGCGATTATCGAAGCATGGAGAGCAACAATGAGGAACATCTTCGAAACCCTCAGTTTCTGGTATGCCACGCAGGCTCTTTGATGTTGCTCTTAAACAAGGAGGAGCTATACATTATTAACTGCTGTACATATGCCATTAACATTGATAAATCATTCACTTTCTCAGGGTTACCTTATAATTATGAAACGGTGTGAAAACCGACGCTATCTTTAAAAAAGTCATAAAAGAGTTGAGGTCAAGGGTGTTGCGACCAAAATTTGTTTACGGAGGTTCATTGTGGTGAGCAATCTGCTGGTGTTTGCCAAAGAATTCCATTCTAGCTGCTTTCCCCAGGAGCAATCTGCAGGTGTTTGCCAAAGAATTCCATTCTAGCTGCTTTCCCCAGAATCGCAAAAATTGAGGGTGAACTTATAATTATGAAACGCACTATACAAATAAATATATATAAATAAATATATATATATATATTAGACAAAGAACTAGCGGCTCAGCAGCGTCTCGGGAATGCAAGAAACGCCGAATGTAGTCCAGAATTGATGCGCTTTTTGAGCGAATTGCTGTCAAGTACCAATGTGTACGCTCAGTCGCTCAAAATGATGCATGAAGTGGAGCACGCAGTAATCGCATTGGCTACCCGAGAAAACCGTACACCAGTCAATATTCGCATGGTCTTCGAGGAGAGCACTAGAAGAGGGTCAGAGCGCCGGCAATTTAATCTCCCCAGGGCAAATGAATTTGCAGTGATCTACGTAGGTGAGGACAACGATGTGCCTGCGAATAGAAGTCTTGCGGTTCATTTGCGCGGCCAGAGCGGTGATCAGCTGACAAATATACGTGACAATGACAAAATATGTGACCCGTTAATGTATCCGCTCCTCTTTCCGATTGGAGAAGGTGGATGGGACTCCAACATGAGAAACACAGCTGGAGAGCGCGTCATTCAAAAAGACTATTATGCGCATTTGTTTTCAATACGTGACGGATTCAATTCTATTTTACATGCAGTAAAGTTATGTCAGCAATTTGCTGTCGACGCATACGTGGAAATTGAACAAAATCGGCTCACTTCCAGCGCAGAAACCAGCTCATTTTACGCCGTGAAACCCTCAGAGGGTTGTAGGATTACTTAGCCGGAGATGACAACTATGGGCCACCTGGAAGTCGTCCTCGCATCAGGGTAGTCCACGTGCCATGCAGCAGGCATACCAGGACGCAGTGGCAATTGTGGCTCGGTATGGAAAGCCGACGTACTTTTTGACGATAAAATATAACCCACAACGGAGAGAATTGATGGAGAACCTCTTTCAGGGCCAGTTAACATCTGATCGACCAGATTTAGTGGTGGGTTAGTGGGTCTTTGATGCAAAATTACAAGAGCTCTGTACCGACTTATTCAAAAGACACTCTGGGAGGAGTGCAGGCTTATGTGTACGTCATCGAGTGCGGTGCCATATGCTTCTCATCATGAAAAATGATTGGACGGTGCGCAGAGCGGAAGACGCGGACAGAGCTATTTTTGCTGAAATTCCGAATAGAGAAAAGAATCTGAGCTCTACACAGCTGTGACTTCGTACATGATTCACCGGCAGTGCGGATCTATGGATCCTTATGCACCGTGTATGCGCAGAGGCTCATGTTCTAAGCGATTTCCCAAGTTGATTCACGATAGAACCTTAGTGGACGTTGACGGCTACCTCAATTATCGACGTCGTAATCTTGCACCAACTGAAATCAACGGCATTCCTTATGGAGTGGGTAGTTCCATCAAATCCGTACCTTCGCCTGAAATATGACTGCATATAAACTTAAGCGTATGCGGCGTGATTTCTGCGGTTAAATACCTCTACATTTATACTTATAAAGGACCAGATCGGGCACGCATCAGTATTTCAGTTGAAGGAAACAGGGATGAAAACGAAAGCGTCGACAAAAACAAGCAGCACCTCAACCCCCGATACGTATGTGCCCCTCAAAGTATATACCGGATTTTCGGATATCCAATGCAGGACAAGTCTCACACGTTATACAGGCTGGCTGTTCATTTGCCTGAGTTCCAAGATGTGCACTTCGTTCATGGAAGAGACCAGCTATATCTTGAGCAAGCTGAGCGGACATTCACAATTTTAACGGGGTATTTCAAGCTAAACAGGCGTTATGCTCAGGCAGATGGTAGCATAAATTTCGATCTTGCAAAAGACCCTAGAGAACTTTAGTAATACCAGCCTTCTCTGTATTTCACGATTGATGGCCGCAGCGATTGGTCCCCGAGAAGATGCGGAGGGAAGCAAATAGGACGGATCTATACAGTGTCACCTCGGAATAATGAACGTTATTGCCTTGGAGTTCTTCTTCTAAATACTCAAGAAAGATCTCGTTCGAAGACTTACGAACAGTGAACAGCGTTAATTACGAAACCTTCGCCGAGGCAGCAAAACAAGCTGGCTTTCTGGATGACGATAGGTACTACCGCCCCAGTTTGCAAGAGGCCACTTACTACCAATCTGCGGCATCCATTCGGAGCTTTTTTGCTTGCTTACTTACCTACTGCGAGGTGGTCGACGCGCAAGTTTGTGGAATGGGTTCGCAGATGCAATGTCAGATGACCATATTATCCAAGGAGTTGGCAGAGAACCTGCTATAGCACTTGTGGACTTTGATGTACAGGACAAAATGGCTCTGATAGGAAAGGATCTCAGAGACGTTGTTTCCCCTCCTGTTGCCGAACGCCCTGTGATACCGAATGTAGAGATGAGTTATGAAGAATACGAAAGGATAGGCCTTTTTCGATGGCAAAACGAGGCAAAAAGCTGCGACTGACGAAATCATGGATGCATTAGAGAGACCTCAGAACAACTGCATCTTAATAAATGGCTCACGAGGGGGTGGAGAAACCTACTTATACAACCCGTATATGATATTGCTATTGGAAGAAGAAAAAAAGTGGTGTGCGTCGCGTCGACAGGAGGACGAACAGTGAATTCACTATTTAAGTTGAACATTGGAGATGAGAACCGGGGCTTCGAAATAAAACGACAGCAAAAAAAAAGCTGGAGAGCTCATGAGAGTGGATATGGTAATCTGGGACGAGATATCCATGGCGCCGATGCAGCATTGGAAGCAGTGGACGCACGAAGCAACTTATGCAGAATAACCATCCATTCGGCGGCAAGTTATGAACATCGGAGGAGATTTTCGACAAGTTTTACCAGTCGTTATGGCCAAAGAGAAGATTTCGGTAAAGCATATGTCCACAAGTCATTTCTCTCGATTGAGGATGTTAGCATGAGAGCAAGAGAACCCGGAATAGAATGGAATGAAGGTCTCCTCGAAATAGATAATGACGATTGCAACGATGTCGATGGTTGTGTTCAAGTGCCCGAAGACATGTTCTGTGACTCCGACATTGTTAGGGAAATATTCAGAACTGCGCTACATCCAAGCAATACATCTGAACTTTGCGAGAGGGCTATACTAGCACCGAAAAATGTGCATGTGCAGAGCCTCAATGACGTAACTCTAGACGCCTTAAAGATGTAACCATAAGAGACGACTGCATCCATAAAAGTGTAGACGAAGCAATTCGTCCAAAACGGCAGAACAATCAAGTCTACCAAAAGGAACATCTGAATTCTTTACCCCCTCCCCCAGGCATGCAGCCACATCTTAAAGCTACGTCTTAAAAAGGGTGCGACTGTCATGCTTCTCAGGAATATTGACGTTGCGAATAGACTCTGTAATGGAACTAGGATAAGGGTAGAAGTACTGGGACGCACCACTATCGGATGCAATTTATTTGCGGGGACATAAGAGGACAACACGCCATCATTCTGTGAACTGACAAATACTGGGACAAAGGAACACCTTTTAGGCTTCGCCGACAACAATTCCCAGTGAGGGTGGCATTTGCTATGACGATAAATAAAGCGCAGGGTCAGTACTTCAATAAGGTAGGAATCTAACTACCAGACGACGTTTTTCTCGCGGGCAGCTGTACGCCACGCTATCACGTGCAAAGTCTCGCGAAGGTAAAAAAATGTCATCCAGGAGTGTAATAAAAAATATTGTATTCAATGAGGTTCTGTTATGAAGTATGCTTGATATTGGGATTGTGAACAGATATCCGCTGAAAACATAACGTCGAACAACATATAAATTCAAGGAGCCGAATGATGAATGTGCTTTATACGGTTCTGTTTGCAAGAAGAGCGCCTTGTCAAGGAAGAGGAAGTAGTGCCCTCGAAAAACTTCATAAACGAGCATAGAATTTTGAGAACGATACCGAAAGGTACTCATATTTGCAGTTTTGTTGAAGTTCTAATATCTGCCGTACCAGAGCCAACTGAGATAAAAAATGCGTTTGTAGGAGGTGAGGTCAGGTGAGGAAAAGCCGCCCTCCGCAAGTCCTACAACTCCATCATGAAGACGAGTCTGCAGATTTGACCCTTTTCCAGGAAGCCGCAATTTTGAAGAGGTAGAGATTATGTGGCTTCTCCATCTCTATCTTCTACTAATAGTTCTTTGAGAAACCACGTCTTCTAGAGCTGATTTTGTCCATACCATTTCATCTCCTATGAGATCAGGTGAGATGAGGGAACACGGAAAGTCCTATGATGGAGGCAAAATCCAGTTCTGACGATTTTTAGAAGAGCCCAAAATTCCGGAGAGGTACGTGTCACATATTTACCATCCCTAATTTCCTATTTGAATTTCTTTCGAAAGATATTTTCTATAAGGTCTGTCTGCGTCTATTTGAAATGTTGTCCTATGAGGCGGCTACGCACACTCTCGCGTGCGCTAGGGGCTCTACCCATGAGAGACGGAGCCACATCAGCTGATTTTCATCATAGACCTCTGTTGGATTTATGACATTCCGCTCAAACACCGCCTCCTGTGGGCGGAGTCTGGTCCTGCCACCCATCATAAGTTTTCCCACAATGGCGCCTGTACTCCTGCCAAGTTTGAACTTTCTAGGTCCATGGGGACAGGAGTTATGAATTTTCGCCCAAACCCCGCCCCCTGTGGGCGGAGTCTGGTTTTGCCACCCACCATAAGTCTTCCCATCCTGTAGCCTGTACTCTTAGCAAGTTTAACTTTCTAGGTCCATGGGGGCAGGAGTTATGAATTTTCGCCCCAACCCCGCCCCCCCCCCCCCCCGGGGGGGGGGCNCCCCCCCCCCCCCCCCCCCCCCCCCTCGTGGGCGGAGTCCGGTTCTGCCACCGACCATAAGTTTTCCCACCATGACGCCTGTACTCCTACCGAGTTTGAACTTTCTAAGTCCATGGGAACCGCAGTTATGGATTATATATGAATGTATATAAATGTGAGAAGGGATGTGAGCTTCGAGGCACTCTCCACCCATTGTGGGCGGGCCTCCGCTGACGTCATCTATGCTGGAGACGCCTTCGACAATGCTCCTCCCACATGAACTTTTTCCTGCTCTGTTGGCTTTCTCCAAAGCGAGTTATAAATGTTTTCATAAAGCATTGTATTTTTGGAGAACGCCCCGCCCATCGGGGGTGGGTCTCCCCATTTGGATCCAGCTTACCAATGCACACCTCTAGCCTTCTTTAAACCCCGGTTTTGAAGCCGTCTTGTGACTGAATTTGAAATCATGGTCCCCAGTACAGTTCATTTCGATTCATGCCACGCCCACTGTGGGCGGAGCTCCGCCAAGCTGATGTGTGCTTTATACTTCTCGGGACATGGCCCACCCACCCCACGCTTCACCCAGTCTCTCCAGGCAGTTCTAAAGGAGCTAAGAATTTTGTGACAGACATACAGATAGACGACAGACAGACAGACAGACGACAGACGAAGCGCTTTATAGTAAGTAAAGCGCTTTATAGTAAGTAGGATGAGGAGAGATGAGGTGAGGAAAGCCGCTCTCCGAAGATAAGCCACTTTTTGCGTCCACATGCCCCAAGAGGTGAGGTGAGGTGAGGTGAGGAAATGACGTTCTCCTCAAGTCCGGCAACTCCAAGATGAGGCGGAGTTTGCAGACCTAACAATTTTCGAAAGCGGTTGAGATTTCGGAAAGGTACGTCTTGAGAAATATACTTCTTCAGGTTTTCACTGATGTCCCCGTGAATTAAAGAGATTCTTATAGGGGCTAACCGGCTTCAAGTGCGTCGAAGGTAGTTAAGGTCTCAGCATTTCCATCAGCTATTTAAACAAGTCCGAATCTCGAGCAGGTATGCATGACATGCTTGCTTCCCTTCCTCATTACGAGACTTCCTGAACATAACCGCTCCTTCCCTATCTGAACCCACCCGGATTATATGCTGCCCTGTGAGGTGAGGTGAGGTGAGGAAACGCCGCTCCGAAAAATTTGGCAGCTTTTTTGCGTCCACCACATATGCTGCCTTATGAGGAGAGGTGAGGTAGGTGAGAAAAAGCCGCCCTCCGCAAGTCCTACAACTCCAACATGAAGACGAGTCCGCAGATTTGACCCTTTTCCAGGAAGCCGCAATTTTAAAGAGGTACAGATTATGTGGCTTCTCCATCTCTATCTTCTACTAATAGACCTTCGAGAAACCACGTCTTCTAGAGCTGATTTTGTCCAAATCATTTCATCTCCTATAAGATCAGGTGAGATGGGGGAACACCGAAAGTCCTATGATAGAGGCAAAATCCAGTTCTGACAATTTTAAGAAGAGCCCAGAATTTCGGAAAGGTATGTATCACATACAGTAGTGCTCAAAAGTCTTCGGTGAAATGCTTTGACGCTTTTTCGTTCATAACTTTTTACTTAGTTGACCAAATCGCGCGAAATTTGGATATGTTTAACTAGAACATATTTCACCCTAACCAACACTATTTGACCGCAAAGCTGCAATATCACAGTTAGTGCAAGGTGTTTGTCGCGGTAGCAGATTTTGCTATAGTTAAAGTTGTTGACGTCTGCACTTTTTCGCACCTTATGTGCGTTTTTCTCATCTAGTGTGTTCGGCATTACCGCTCGTACACTTTTGACATGACAAAAAGGAAAGAGATTCTAGAAGGGCCATCATCTGTACTTTCAGTTGATTTTGAGTTCATGCTCCTTGGAATATTTGGAACATGATCAGATTGCAGGTTAATAGTGTCAAATATTCACAATACACCCACGCTCCAAATATAGAAATTTAGCATGATAAGATCCAGTAGGAAAGGAGTTCCGACTAAAAAGTTCTGCTGAAGAACCATTTCGCCGAAGACTTTTGAGCGCCACTGTATAAACTCTCCTTCATTTCCTATTCGAATTTCTTTCGAAAAGGTAATTTCTATCAGGTCTGATTGCGCCCACCCTATGACTTCCTAGGGGTGAGGTGAGGAAATGCGGCTCTCCCAAGAATAGCCACTTTTGTGCGTCCTTGAGGTGAGGATACAGGATACCTTTTCGAACATTTTTTTTCGTTTTGTAAAATATTCCCAATCCCGCTCCCATTTTTTTGCAGTGGAATAAGAAAGGGGCTATTCGGTAACTTATCTAATGCTCCCATCTTATGTTCTACCAAAACTCTTACAATGTACACATGATTTCTTCTGCTTATTGCCCTTTGTTATCTGAATTAGTGGTGAGCTCATATGTTAGCGACTGCTGAGCCCTAATGTTTTCATTACGAAGCCTCTTATTTTTAGTGAAGAAAATGGTTTTCTATGAGGTATGGCTGTACTGATTAAATCCCTGGAATGAGTTTCTGCTAAATCAGTTGACTAACGTAATCCCTTTTTTCGGATCATCTTAACTGGAACATCTTAAAAAGGAAAGCTTTTAATACCTCGAAAAAATTTAGCTAAGGAAAATTTTAAAAATTCGATTTTCTTTTAGATTTTCTTTAATTTTGCGTTGAAAAGAGAAGCGTGCAATTGTTGGAGAGAAGTAATTCGGTTGTTGAGTGTTACCGGGTGCGTATCACGAACTTTTTCCTCTCATCTATTCACTATTTCTTAACGGAATTTTAATGTCAATTTACTCTTCCTGGAACTGCTTCTACATTTGCGCCTCCGGAAGTTTCCTATTAGTGATCAAGATCATTCAAGGTCCACAGAAGGTATGTCAAGGTACGCCTCCCGAGATATTCATTTTTTTTTCAAAAAAAAACAAAAACGTCTGGGCGATATGCTACGACGACATAATCTACTCGAGCACTGTTTCAGTTTCGTACTCTCGCTCTTGGATAAGAATTTCGAAAAAAGAAAAGACTTTCTTCAACTCAACATTTCTCGAGAAAGGGTGTTTGCCACAAGAAGAAGGAGAGCCCGGCGTTAGCCGGGCGATCGAACTGGTGGCATATAAGCCATTAAAAAGGCGAGGGCAAGCGGGGTCTCGGCAGTGTATGGGATAAGAGCACGGTGCCCGGAAAGCACAAACACGGATTCGTGTCCCTCCAAGACTGAAGTTTTGTACGTAAATTTGTGATCCCGAAGACTTCGTTCGCTCTATTCGACTTATTGACTTCATTCAGCGCGAAATGTTTCCTTCCTTTGGACAATGTCAGTGACGATGACGAAACCAAACCTACCTTCGAATCGCTGGAATCCGAGAACACAGACAT